CGTCGCGTCTGGAGCTTTAGTACAGACGAAAGGCAAAGGAGCTTCCGGATCGTTCAAGCTAGCTTCGTCATCGGCTGGCGGAGCGTCGAAAACTTCATCATCGTCAGCCGCAAAGGTTGGCGAAAAGAAGAAGAAATCCGCGACCGGCTCAAAGAAGAGCGGAACCGTAGCTAAGAGAGCTAGCGGTGCGAAATCTGCGAAGAAGGCATCTCCGAAGGCTAAGAAACCGGCGGTGGCCGGTGGTGCGGCCGAGAAGAAAGCTTCTCCAGCTAAGACAAAGAAAAGTGGGAAATCGGCGACGTCGGCTAAAGCTTCTTCTGCTGCACCTTCTGCAGCGGCTGCAAAAAAATCTCCTTCGAAGGCGAAGAAATCCAGCAAGGGAGCTCCGACCAAGAAGCCAAAAGCACCAAAACCGAAAACGGCGAAGGCTGCAACATCGCCAAAAAGGAAGGCCGCTTCACCCAAAAAGAAAAAAAAAAAAAAAAATTTAGACGTGTTGCAACGTCGTAGATTACGGCTACGTCGGTTCGAGACGTTATATTTATGCGAGAGGATGCTATACGTCCCCGCGGATTGAAAATGGCCCTTTTCAGGGCCACCACTATTACTATAAAAAGGATACAGAATATTTACGAATTAGCAATTTTGTATCGAAATATACATGTACAACTGCGGCTCGTACGTGCGTTGATGTTTTTTTTTTTTTTTTTTTTATTAAATTCGAGTATTATTCGTTTACGATTAGGTATTTATAAGCAAGTGGTAATGTTAGGCGTCGTCACCATCGATATTTGCTTTTAAGGGTATAAATAAGTATGTATTGTGTTAATTAAACGAATGAACGTTAAACAGTCGATTGCGTCGTAAGGATATCCCCTTTTTTTACGCTTTCGTTTACCATTAATAATCCGGTCGGGTCTTATATCAGACGTTATTGCTTTAGTGGTGTATGTATATCACGAATAATCATCTGGTATTCAAGTACCAATAATATATATGTTGCGCGTACGGTGATATCATTATCTTACTTGATAACTTTAGTGGTTCTGAAAAGAACCGTTTTTTATGTTGTAAGTTGTGTTGATGTTGTTTGTTGTCGTCGTAGTTTACATATTACTTCGAACTGGTGTACTTGGTTACGGCTTTGGTACCATTCGCTGACGGCGTGCTTGGCCAATTCTCCTGGTAGCAATAGTCGAACGGCTGTTTGAATTTCTCTGCTAGTTATCGTGGCACGTTGTTGTAATGTGCCAATCGGGATGCTTCCGCTGCGATACGTTCGAAAATATCGTTGACGAAGCTGTTCATGATGCTCATCGCTTTGCTGGAAATACCGGTATCTGATGTACCTGCTTCAGCACTTTGTAGATGTAAATTGCGTAGCTTCCTTCCTCCTGCGTTTCTTTTTCTTATCAGACTTGGAAATATTTTTTTGAGCCTTACCGGCCTTTTTAGCTGCTTTAACCGCTAGTTTTGGGTGGCATCGCGTTTCGATTTACACAAAAAGTACGATCTTTACTGACACAATATCGTGATCTATAATGGAAAGGTGTGCGGATAAACGGCGAGCTTTAACAGCCACGACGTTACCGACATAGACTCCGCCCCTTACGGGTGACCGACAAACGAAAACGGTGATTGGTCGGAGTAGTTATATAAATATACTCGTACCTAAAGACATTGCCATCCCCAGTTCCGAGCTAGCAGCCGTCACGAGCATACACTTGTGCGACTGCGACCCACCCGGACATATTGAGCAATCTTATTGCAATTTTCATTGCGATAGATTGTTTGTTTGCCATCTACGATGGCAAAAATTGAGAAGCTGGCTAACCAGCTGAAAGAAAAGAAGGATGCGTTCGCCATGCTGGAAGAGCAGATGCGAAACCTGCAAGAAGCATTCTTGCAGGCCAGACAGGAAATTGAAGACCTGAGCGGGAAGCTCCGCAGGGCCAAGAAGAAGGCCGCAAAGAAGACAGGAGAAGAGGAGGAAGAGGACCACCAGGCGACATCGGACGAGATGGACGCCCAAGAAGAGGGCACTCAACAGACCGAAGGACCGAAGGAAGAAGAAGCCGAGAAGAGGACGGACGACACCGACTTCAGTGTCGCCACCAGACGGAGGAAGCGGGTGCGAGTTTCCTCCGAAGAAGAAGAAGAAGAACCCAGGCAGCGAAAGATGCCAGCTGCCACAAAGAAGAGTGGTCCTAGAGCAACCAGGACCACCGAGGCCCCCATGGCAGGAACAGGAGTTCCGCCAATCAACATCGAGGGCACCGCTGATTGGTCATCCTTGAGTAGGATGATGAACAGCAAGGGGATTCAATTCTCCAAAGCGAGGACGGCGGGTACCAGTGTGAAGGTATTCACAAATACACCAGCTGACTACCGTCAGCTAGTCGCACTGCTTGAATCCATCAAGCGGCCCTTCTTCACATATCAACTGAAGGAGGACAGGATGGACCAGAGGGTCATTCGTGGGCTTCCGAGAGAGATGTCAGTCAATGACATCAAAGAGGATCTGGAGAGCCAAGGCATCGCAGACGCCGTGGTTCAGCAGCTGACCTCAGGACCACAAAGAGAAGCCACTTCCGCTCCTTCCTCGTCAGACGAAGATGCCAGAAAAGCTTGCAGAGATCCAGAGGCTGGCCATGCTCACGGTCAGCTTCGAGAGGAAGAAAAAGTCTTCCGAGCCCAGCCAGTGCTACCGCTGCCAGCGGTACGGGCACACACAGCGGAACTTGCCGTCTCGCTGAACGGTGCGTTAAGTGTGGAGAGGACCACAACAGCACCACTGCAGTCTGTGCCAGCGCCGCCAACAGGGCAACGAAACGCCAAGTGTTGCCTCTGTGGAGAAGGCCAACACCCGCCACTACAAGGGATGTAGTAAGGCGCCGAAGAAGCTGCTTCTGCCCCAAAGCATCCCCACCACAAATAGGACTTTTTACGGCCCAAAAAGTGAAGAAGCCTATGTCCACTTCTGGCCCCAGCAGCCGCCACTGCTACTGGAAACTACTGCGCAGAAGCAACACGGGCGATGACAGACTGCTAGCAATGATGCAAGCCATCATAACCCGCCTGGATGCACTCGAGGCCAAGATGCAAGACAAGCACTAGACCCGAAATGTCTACAGGTCAAAACGTAGAATCTCTACGCATTATCTCCTGGAACATCAACGGTTTCAGGGCACGGAAACCAGAAATCCAGGAGATACTAGACCAGTACCAACCAGAGGTGATGGCCATCCAAGAAACGAAGTTGGATGCTGCCCATAGTCTGACGTTCCCCGCGGTACGAGACGTACCGCTACGACAGAAGGGGCAGAGGTGGAGGAGTCGCATTACTCGTCAAACGTACCTTGACGAGTCATGTCCTCGACGATGCCGCAGACATAAATGGGGACGGAATCACGGTCCAGGTCCATCACAACCACCGTCCCTACAGAATCACCTCCCTATATGTGCCACCAGGGGAGGCCCTAGACGAAGATGACATCGCTGACCTCCTGAGAGGCCCAGGAGCACGCATAGTCATCGGAGATCTAAACTGCAAGTCTCCGGCTTGGAACAACAACGTCGAAGACAGGAATGCAAGGCAGCTCCAGGAACACGTCGATGCCCTGGCGGGGGTCATCGTCGGTCCCGGAGCAACCAACCTACATTCCATTCGGCCTTGGGCGACCTGCGGTACTGGACATAGCCATCCTCCGCAACATCAGAGAGGAGTTCGAGATAGAGGACCCTGGTGGAAGGATCGTCGGACCACAATCCGATTCTACTAACACTTGGTACAGGGTCTAGAACTCGAGATAGCTTGAGCACCAAACGGACGAACTGGAACCTTTACAAATCCAACGTCCAGAGGAAACATCACTCAAATTCCAACCATCCGATCAGCGGAGGAACTGGACAACGCAGTAGAGGAGCTGGAGAAGCTGTCCTGCGAGCGCACGAGGACAGCACCCGCTCCGAGACTACGGCAGTTCCTAGATACCTAAATGGTCCAGCACCGCACCATATTAGGCACCTGATCAGGGGAGAACAGAAGACTCAAGCGAGAACATCTCCAGCTGTTGACAGAGGAGTCGAGAGTTGCGCGAAACAGAGCATCGTTAGCTCTGAAGAACGCACTCGCGGAACTCCAAAACAACAGATGGAATGCAGCCTGTGCAGAACTAGAGACCCAGGATGGTACGGCCTGGTCTATGCAGCGAAAATTTCGTCGTCAGCGCACCACGATCCCCACTCTTCACGGCCAACGCGGCTTGGCCTACTCCAGTGAAGAAAAAGCCGAAGCATTCGCCGATTCGCTAGAATCCGAATGCAGACTCAATTACCATGAAGACGAGGACGACAACCACGAGGAGGGCCGTGGAAGTCGCAGCCGAAAACATGAGGAGTCGACCACCTGGCCAGGAGACGGATCACCCCTGCAGTCCAGAGGAAATCCGTCTGATCATCCGCAGGTTGAAGGTCAGAAAGGCGCCGGGAAGGGACGGCATCAACAATAGGATGCTGAAGAACCTTCCCACCAAAGGCATTGCTGCGCTCACCAACATCGCCAATGCCACTCTGAGACTTAACCACTTCCCGCGGCGGGTGGCGGGAAGCCCAGGTTATAATGCTCACCAAGCCAGGCAAGGACCGGAAGTTGCCCCAGAACTACCGGCCCATCAGCCTGGTTTCCTCGGTGGGCAAAGTAGTCGAAAAGGCTATCGCCGTTCGACTAGAGAAGCAGGCAGAAGAACTGCAACTTCTCCCCCCAGAGCAATTCGGCTTCAGATCCTCCCACAACACGGAACTCCAAGCGCTACGACTGACGGAAAACATCACCAGCGGCTTCAATCTCCAGGAGGCAACCGGTCTCGTCCTGCTGGACGTGGAACGAGCCTTCGACCGAGTTTGGCACGATGGACTCATCGCCAAAATGGAAGCCGCCGGAATCGATGCGAAACATGTGCCAACTGATCCAGAGCTATCTAACACAAAGATGGTTCACGGTGAAGATTGGTACATGCCATTCAACAAGACGTCAGCTGGAAGCAGGCGTGCCCCAGGGGTCAGCCTTAGCCCCCCTGCTCTACAACATCTATACTTACGATGTGCCGAAGACAGCTGACACAATGCTGGCCCTATATGCAGACGACACTGCTATAGCCGCCAAGCATAGACGACCCGAGATCATCCGTAGGAGACTACAGGGTGAACTGGACCAAATTCAGGACTGGTGCGTGAAATGGAAAATCCGCATCAACGTCCAGAAGACGCAGGCAATCTTCATTCAACGAAGAAGGATTGCAAGACCTCTCGAAGCATCCATCTTCGATGAAGATATCCAGTGGAGCGACAATGTCAAATATCTGGGGATCGTTTTGACAAGTCCCTCACCTGGAAAGCGCACATAGAAGCTGTCATCGCAAAAACCAGAGCAGCCATGGCTCAACTCTATCCATTACTGGGTAGACACAGCCAGATGCCGCTAGCGACCAAGCTACGGCTGATCAAGGCCATCGCCAGACCTCAGCTCGCTTACGCCTCCGCGGTCTGGGGGTACGCTGCCCCCAGCTACCGCAAGCGACTTGCTGCTCTAGAGATGAAGCTACTCCGGATCGCCACCAATGCACCATCCTACGTAAGGAACTCAACCTTGCGTAGAGACCTGCATTGGGATACCATCCACGAGTACATGAGGAAAAAAGCGGAGAAGACCTTCGAGAAAGCTCAGGACCACCCGAACGAGCAGCTACGATTCCTCATGGACTACGATCCGGACGAGAGGCCTCGCAACCGCAGAACCAGGTACCCCAGACCAAGGTCCCAGTTGGCACCCGCTAACTGGAACCTTGACTAGGAGACTAGGAGAATTTGCGGCTGCTCCCCCCCCCCCCCCCCACGGCGTGGATGCAGAGGACCAGGAACCACCGGGACCAGGACCCACCGGGACCAGGACCAACCAGGACCAGGACCCGCCACGACCAGGACCCACCAGGACCAGGACCCTTCAGGACCAGGACCAGGAACAACATATTGGTAAGATGACTTGAAACTCTTGATTTTTCGAAAACAAGAGTTTCAAGAGAAACTAGCAGACCCTCTATCGATGATCGCTTAACGACATCGATAGAATGTGCGAGGTAAAGGGAACCAACCCGGCGTTCCCAGAGACTGAAACACATGAGGAGACGTTGTAGCAGACCGCAGGTCACGCACAACACATGGCCTACCGAGACGCTGATGAGTCGGGCCACGCGGAGGTTTAGGGTTTAGTGGGTATTAGGTGATCTCTTCAAGACCCTGGAGCCCCACACACGTCGTAGCTCGTGCTATGGTATGGTGCGTAAATGCATTCCCCCCTCGTTAAAAAAAAAAAAAAAAAAAAAAAAAAAAAAAAAAAAAAAAAAAACATTGCCATTCTATTCTATTAATTCGGTCAACGACAGCAGATTGTAGTCGTCGATTCGCAAGTCAAAAAAGAAAATAATAAACAAATAAACATGTCCGGACGAGGAAAAGGCGGAAAAGTGAAAGGAAAGGCAAAATCCAGGTCTAGTAGGGCCGGTTTGCAATTCCCTGTAGGTCGTATACACAGATTATTGCGTAAAGGAAACTATGCCGAACGCGTCGGTGCCGGAGCTCCTGTGTACCTTGCCGCCGTTATGGAGTACTTGGCAGCCGAAGTGTTAGAGTTGGCCGGCAACGCTGCTCGCGACAATAAAAAAACCAGGATCATTCCACGTCATCTGCAGTTAGCAATCAGGAATGATGAAGAATTAAACAAGTTACTTTCCGGCGTAACTATCGCCCAAGGCGGAGTTCTTCCGAATATTCAGGCTGTCCTATTGCCGAAAAAGACAGAGAAGAAAGCCTAAATAATAATAATAATAAGAAAATAACGTCAAAACTAGAAATCGGCCCTTCTCAGGGCCACACAATTCGTTTGTTGAAGAAAAAATAGAGATCATCGGATCAGGAAACAAAAAAAAAATCACGTAATATTTTGCCGATATTCCTTCATGCTGTTTGGGATTCAAGTAACAACAGCCCAATAACCGCATGATACAGTGTGATGTTACGTTTCTACGATACGGATCGTGACATGGAAAATGCAACAAATAATACCAATTCTTACTTACCGTAACATTTTATGTTTACCTAGCATCGATGGGTTGTGGAGCTCGACTATATGGAGATACCTTGGAGGGATAGTTACTTTCTAGAGGTACTGTCGGAATGATAGAACTTTATTCCAACGCAATTTTACATACAATGCCGCTAGTGTCTATAACGACAATCACGTTAACTCTCCCTCTCCCCCCCCCCCCTCTCTCTCTGTCTCACACATTGCTCTTCCCCCCACTCCTCAAGGGTATGAGGTTGCCTGGAACAGGGGTGGTGGAGGGACCGCACAGGGTAGGAGGGTGTGTGGTGTTGTGTGCGCGCAACATCAGTTCCGAGCTAGCAGCCGTTGCGAGTGTATACTTGCACGACTGCGACACACCCGGACATATTGAGCAATCTTATTGCGATAGATTGGTTGTTTGTCATTTACGATGGCGAAAATTGAGAAGCTGGCTAACCAGCTGAAAGAGAAGAAAGATGCTGTCGCCATGCTGGCAGAGCAGATGCGAAACCTGCAAGAAGCCTTCTTGCAAGCACAACAGGAGATCGAGGACCTGAACGGGAAGCTCCGCAGGGCCACGAAGAAGGCCGCAAAGAAGACCGAAGAAGGCGAGGCAGAGGACCACCAGGCTACGTCGGACGAGATGGACGCTCAAGAAGAGGACACCCAACGGACCGAAGAGGATAGGACCACGACAGAGACAGCAAGCAACGACGACACCGATTTCAGTGTCGCCACCAGACGGAAAAAAAAAAGCGGGTGCGAAT